AAGTACTTAAGTGCAACAGTGTTATTCTGGAGACTAAAGTGTGCCTGATCCAGGCCATGATCTTTGCAATTACTTACTATGCACCAGAAAGCTGGACAATGACTAGGGATGCTATAAGGAGAATTGATGCTTTTGAGCTGTGGTACTGGAGAAGAGTATTAAATATATCATGGACTGCTAGGAGAACAAACAAGTTCATCATAGAGGGGGTGAGACCAGGCTGCTCCTTGGAGGCAAGGATTCTAAAGCTTTGTCTGACATACTTTGGACATGTTGCAAGGAGGGCCCAGTCCTTGGACTGGGATGTCATGCTTGGGAGGTTGGAGGGACAGTACAAGAGAGGAAGACCCTCTATGAGATGGATGGAGTCAGTGACTTGGGTAATGGGGGTAAGTGTCAGAGAATAAGATTGGCACAGGATAGAGCAGGTTTTAGGGTTGTTGTATGTAGGGTCGCTTTGAGTCACAGGCGACTTGACAGCACATAAGAACAACGACAGTAGGAAACTAATGCACAGTACAGTCCTTGATGAAGATGTCCCTAAACTCACAGTAAGGAATCTAGGGTTCAGAAAGGTTCCATATTTAGACTGGATCTGGGATTTAAACCTAGACTTTTTTAATGCTAATGCTTTGCTGTTGTGTTGATTCCAAATCATGAGTGTCAGAGTAAAATTATGCTCTACAGGATTTTCATCAGCTGATACTTCAGAAGTATATCTCCTGGACTTTCTTCCAGAGTAGCTCTAGGGGGACTCAGAGTCTTGATTTTCCTGTGAGCTGCTGTGGATGTTAACCATTTAAACCATCTAAGAATTCTAAAGTAGTACTTTTCCTTCTTTATTAGGCTACCTTCAGAAGTAGAGTGGCAATGTGGAGTTTAGTAGAAAGGTCTCTGGCTAATAGAAGAAAGAGGTCATTTTAGGATGCTGGAAAAAGGGACTTGTGGTCATGGGTCAGGATCTTTATCATTTACCATGAGCATGGCCCTTTGGGTACATTGCAATCCTCCTCTTTACCAAGCTCTTATTGGAAAATCCCTTTTGCCAGCTTTTTGGTTGATTTGACTCTTTTCAGGCAGATGAATAGTAGGTCAAGAGCAGAAGAGTCAAGGAAAGAGGTATTTCAGGTAGACAAAATTGAAGCTCTGAAAGTATTTTCCCATGCAAACATGTCTGCTTACATGGTAGGTTCTTTATAGTACTCTATTATGAATTGAATAACTTGTGATTGGGCTTCAACTACTTATTTATTTATTTTATTTTATTGGGAAAAACATTGGGGGTACAAGGAGGTGAGGGTTGGGGGCAGAAGGGTGAGGATGAGCAGGGATGCAGTTGCAGAGCTGCACAGTTTGGTCAGTGGGGGGAGCAGGTGAAGGAAATGATGAGTATCCAGTGGGGACCAGATGCTACAGAGGAATGACAAGCATTTTCCAGTGGTAATTAAACCAACTGTCTTATTGATTTGGGAACTGGATGCTGATTCTCTTTCTTCTTCATGCTGAACAGGGGCGTGGATGTAAAGGGGGGAAGGGAGGACGCTTTATCACCTTACTGGTGGTCTTGGGTTAAAGCTGCTTGCCTTCTTGCTCTGTTAGAAGATATTTTCCTGTCATTTGCTCCCCTCTGGACTGCAAAATGTTTCCCAGGTGGGTCCAGTGGGGATGGCTGGTTGAACCCAGAGGCTCCATCCTCCTTTGCTTCCTTAGCTGTCAGTTGTATTTCCTTTTTGTCACTGGCACTGGGTTCAGGGTCAATTCTGGAGTAAAACTCAGAGTTAAGGTTACCTCTAGGAAAGGGAGCAAACCTAGAGAGAACAAACTTGTGAGTTACAAATAGAAGGGCTTTGAGGGTGTTGCTTTCAGGTTTACTGGGGGGGGAGGGTGGCCGAAGGTGGCCTAGGTAACATTCTCTGGATACCCTAGGCATTCTTTTTTTTTTCCTTCTCCTTCCCCACCCAGGGGTCAGATGGCACAATCTGGGGACTGAGGAGTTCACCCTGAGGGCCACAATGGCTCACCCCAAGCCAAGGGCCTAGGGCAGCCCGCCCCGGGCAGAGGGCCGCAACAGCTTGCCCCGAGCCAAGGGCCGAGGGCAGCCCACCCTGGGCAGGGGGCCGCGACGGCTTGACTATTTATATTTTTGTTTCTGTACAAAAATATGTTTTAAGTGTTCAAAAGTAAATGCAAAGAAAATTTTGAAATGCAAATTTTTATGCATTTGGGAACAGCCAACCATCTCCTCCTCCCCCCAAATTTTTATACTTGAAAGTATTAGCACATTCTAGATGTTCCAATGAATTTAAAAAAGATTTCTACACTTGATCTTAGCCAAAAGGCCGAGAAGCAATCAAAAAGATTTGTATGTCCTTCTGTGATATTAGAATGTGCTTAGATTAAATATCACTAATACAGGATGCTGTGGTGGCTTAGTGGTAAAAGAATTGTGCTGCCAGCTCAAAGGCGTGCAGTTCAAATTCACTGGCTATTCTGTGAGAAAAAGATGAGTCTCATGAAGTGAACTGCCTCTGAAAACTCACTGGAGGGTCAGTTTCAGGTCGGTTCTGATTTGATGGTACTCAACAATAATAGTACAGTAAAACCTGGAAAAGCTGGAACCTGTCAGAGAAGAAAAATGCAGATATTTTCCATTTCTTCAGGTTTCTGATGCTGTAAGCCTTTAATGGGGGAGACTACCTTTCTTTCTGTGGAATAGCTGTGTGATGCTGTAAGCCTTTAATGGAGGAGACTGCCTTTCTTTCTGTGGAATAGCTGGTGAATTGGAACCACTGACCTTTCATTTGAACAGAGTTCCTTAATCTGAAAATGATAGAAAAGTAGTAACACTATGTAGTCACATCAAACTTGGACTCTTAAAGGTTTTCATTGTAATATTACTTGAACTAAATGGATTCTGTTTGCAGTGAGAGAATTTTTGTTTTCATTATAAAGGCATAAAACCAGGGAGTGGTGGTTTAATGGTAGCATTCTCCTATTCTTGCCATATTAAGTTCTTGACCAGTGTACCTCTTCCACAGCCACCATCCATCTGTCATTTGGTGACTTTAATGTTGCTGTGATGCTGGACAGATTCCAGCAGAACTTCTACATTAAGACTGACTAGGAAGAAAGGCCTGATAATCTGCTTCCAAAACGGTACCATTGAAAACCCTGTGGAAATAAAGTTGGCATGAGTCAAGGTGGCTGATTATTCTCCACAGCTCTACTAAGTTACTTCCCTTGATTTCTTTTCTGTTCTGCTGTCAGTTTCTGTATTTGCTTTACTTGGGAGTAGGAATAGGAATTGAAGAAAAAAGAAAAAGATACAGTTTTAGGAATTTTTTGTGCAAGATTTCTTGGTAATTTTAATCAAAAGAATAAATACATCACGTTCTAGGCAGTTTTAGGATTTGGCTTAGAAAACATATATTAGGATACAAACCTTTTCATTTTGGTAAAGTATATTTTCTAATTTTAGAAAGGGAAGTTATAGACGTAATATTAATTACCCTTGAAAATCTTGAAATCTGCTCATGACATAGTATGTACATAGTTTTGTGAATTTAGTCTTATTTAAGACCTGTTACTATAGACTGTGTTGATTTTAGGTGCCATTAAGTTGACTGTGACTCATGGTAACTTTATGAACAGATTGAAATGTTGCTGTTTCTTTAAAATCTCTACATACGCAAACCCATTGTGGTAATCACTTTGCCAGTCCGTCTACTATAGGTCTTCCTCTTTTTCATTCTTTTCCCAGCATGTGTTTTTCTAAGGACTGTTGCCCCATGACAATGTGCAAAGTATGTGAGATGAAATTTCACCATCCTTGCCTCTAAGGAGCATCTTGGATATTCTTTATCCAAGACTTGTTTGTTCTTTAGGTAGTCTGTAGTATATTCTGTACTCTTTGCGAACACCACAATTTAAAGGTATTAGTTCTTCAGTTTTCCTTGTATATTGTTCTTCACATGCATACAAAGCAATTAAAAATACCCTGGCTTGAGTGAGTCACAAATCTTTGAACTGATGTTCTACAATATCTTAAAGTGGTCCTTGACAGCGCATTTGTCCAGTGCAAACACATCTTTTGATTTTGGTCTTTAATTTTTTTCTTTTGATTTCTTGACTGCTACCACCACGGGTGTTGATTATACAAAGACTATAGGTGGTTTGTTGTTATGTGCTATTAAGTTGCCTGTGACTTGTATCGACCCTAAGTACAATAGCTCTGAACCCTGTCCTATCCTGAGCCAGTCTTATTGACTCCAGCTCACCTAATCCTGTTGCCCTAGTTCCTGTATCAATCCATTTATTTCATCTTGGGTCTTCCTCTCTTGTGCTGTATCTCCACCATTCCAAACATGCTGTCCTCTTCCAAAGACTGGTCCCTCTTGGCCACATACCCAAGGTATATGAGACAAGAACTTGCTTTGCCTCCAAGGAGAAACTTGGTTTCAGGAAGAAGTAAAAGGAAAAGTCTGTATGTGGATGTCTGATTTTCAGGCCACTCTGTCTTTAATAAATCTCTAGGACTAACTGGGGGATGGACAGGGAATTTCCAGTAGCATAATCTGTAGGGAATTGTGCTCCTAACCCCAAAGCTGCACCTCTCTGGCAGTTCAGATCCATTAGTGGCTTTGAGGAAGAAAGACAGGCAATCTCTCTGCAACTTACAGCCTCAGAAACCCACAAGAAGGTCAGCTCTGAGTTGCTTTCAACTTGATGGCATTGAGTTGAGTTACTTGGCAGCAGTTTATTGTAGTCTACTTTTGAGGCTAAATTTTTATAGTCTTAATATACATTATCCAATTTGGTTTAAGGATTAAATGAGGTGATTTATGTGAAAAGTCATATGAAAATAGGACCTACTAAGTGATAAGTATTTAACACACTGTAAGTATTTGAATCTAAATGTCATAGATATTATTCTCCCTGTATTTTGGAATATTGTACACAATTTGATTTTTAAATATTAAATCTTCTCTGGATGTTCTTAGGATGAATTGAGTGATGTTATTGATATTAAGGATCCAGATTCTACTCCTGCATTTGAACGAAGACAGAAACGCCTGGCTGCTGAGCTGGCCAAATTTGATCCTGATCATTACCTGTGAGTATTGAGTGTTTTGTGGAGTAGGTAGCCTCTTTGAAATTTCTTCTCAAAAGGTTTTTTGTTTGTTTTTTTTTTAAAAACCAGGAGGCTAAAAAATAGAACACAGAACACATAACAGTATTTTTACTTCTGTTTTTAGTCGTCAGGGCGCAGTTCATAGCAATAGGCACAAACTTAATGGAAGAAAGAAGATGAATCAATGATATAACACCCTCATCAAATAGAAAAAAGAACAATCTAATCCCGCAGCCTAAAGTAGAAAAGAAATGATAAGGACAAGAGCTGAAATTAAGGAGATAGAAAACAGAAAAACGATTAAAATCAGGATAAAAACCAGGAGCTGGTTTTTACAAGGGTCAATAAAATTGAAAGACTGCTTGGAAACTTAGCAGAAGAAAAAAATGAAGACACACAACTCCATTAAGAAATGATAGAGGTGAGATCACAACAGAACCAGGTTAAATTAAATCAATAATATTGGAATTTTATGAAAAAACTGTACTCTAATAAATTTGAAAAACCAGAAAATGGACAAATTCCTTAAAATTCATGCTCTACCCAGATTGTCAAGGACAGATGTAGAACATTTTAACCGACCCATCAAAAACAAAAGAAACTAAACAGGTCATAAAAAGACTTCCCTTTGCTGGACCCGCGGGGCCGAATGGTCCTTTTCTCCTCGGACAGTGGCTGGGAGCCTGTAGCATGGCTGCTGTATCAGGGAGCTCCAGCTGCACAGGGCGACACTTGAGGTGGGCCCACTGCCTCCATGTTGTCCCCCACCTCCGTGTTGACTTTAAGTGCCCTGCGCCCACCACCAGCCCCACCCATCCGGGCCATGGAAGCTGTGGCCATGGCTGAGACAGAGGAGCACAACCTGGACAACTTCTTTGCCAAGTGAGACAAGAAAAAAAGGAGTGGCTGGAGCAGCTGGGCGAGGTGTGCTTTGGCAGTGGAGGTGGGAGAGGCGGGGCTGCAGGCAGGGTGGGTGCAGGAGCCCCTAGTGTGTGTGTGTCGGGTGTTGGGGGGAGACACACAGGACAGAGAGGGGTGGCAGGCTTGGCCACCAAGGGCCCTGGGGCCACCACAAAGGCCAAGGATGAAGATTAGTGGAAAGAGTTTGTGCAGAAAGAGGTTGATAACAGCGGCCTCCTTTAGGTGATGCAAGTAAGTAAAAAGGAAGAAGATGATAAAAAAGGAAAAGGGAAGATCCAGGTGATGATTAGAAAGAAGGTGGAGGAGGAGGCGCAGGTATAGAAAAGTATTTGGGTCCCTGGAACAAAACTGCTCCAGTGCAAGCAGCCCTGGCCCTGACCATCAGTTTAGAAACCCCAGAACCTGCAATGACTAATGGCGTGTACAGAACTCCTGAAGCCAGGTTAACCACAACGAGGAAGACACCACAAGGGCCACCAGAAATCTACAGTGACACACAGTTCCCTTCCCTGCAGTCCACTGCCAAGCACGTAGAAAGCTGGGATTGTTGTTATGTGCCATCGAGTTGCTTGCGACTCATAGCGACCCTATGTACAATAGCCCTAAACCCTGCTCTATCCTGTGCCAGTCGCATTGCCTCTGACACACCCATCCCGATTACCCCAGTCACTGAATCAATCCACCTCATAGAGGGTCTTCCCCTTCTGTGCCGTCCCTCCACCCTCCCAAGCATGATGTCCCTCTCCAAGGACCTGCCTCTCCTTACAACATGTCCAAAGTATGTCAGACGAAGCCCCAGAATCCTTGCCTCCAAAGAGCAGCCTGGTTTAACCCTCTCCAAGATGAATCTGTTTGTTTTCTTGGCAGTCCAGGATACATTCAATACTCTTCTCCAGCACCTCAGCTCGAAGGCATCAATTCTCCTTCTATCTTCCCTAGTCATTGTCCAACTCTCTGATGCATAACAAGTGCTTGCAAAGATCACAGCCTGTATCAGGCACACCTTAGTCTCCAGAGAGACACCGTTGCTCTTGAGTACTTTAGAGAGGTCCCCAACAGCAGACTTTCCCATCGCAAGACGCTTTTTGATTTCCTGACCTCTGGTGCCAAGAGTGTTGACAGTGGAGCTGAGCAAACTAAAGCTGTGAACAGTCTCAATCTCTTCGCCATCCATCCTGATGCTGCCAGTTGGTCCAGTGGTGAGAATCTTTGTCTTCTTGACATTGAGCCTCAGTCCATACTGAAGGCTGCAGTCCTTGACCCTCTGCAGCAAGTTCATGAAGTCCTCCTCAGTTTCGGCAAGCAGGGTTGTGTCATCTGCATAATGCAGATTGTTAATAGATCTTCCACCAATCCTGATGCCGCAATTCTCCTCATAGAGCCCAGCCTCTCGGATAATCTGCTCTGCATACATGTTGAAAAGGTATGGAGACAGGATGCATCCCTGGCGTACACCCTTCCCAATTTTGAACCATGCAGTGTTACCCTGCTCTGTTCTGACTACTGCCTCTTGGTCCAAGTATAGGTTTCGCATTAGCACAATTAAATGTTCTGGGATTCCCATTCTTCTCAGAGTCAGCCACAGTTTGTTATGATCCACACAGTCAAATGCCTTTGCATAATCAATGAATCACAGATAGACATTCTTCTGGTATTCCCTGCTTTCAGCTAAGATCCATCTAACATCAGCTACAATATCCCTAGTACCATGACACCTTCTAAACCCAGCCTGGACTTCTGGCAGTTCTCTGCTGATGTGCTCTTCTAATCGTTTTTGGATAATCTTCAGTAGAATCTTGCTTGCATGTGAAATCAATGAGATTGTTCAGTAGTTTCCGCACTCTATTGCTTTGGAATGGGAACAATTATAGATCTCTTCCAGTCAGTTGGCCAAGTGGTTGTTCTCCAGATTTCTTGGCACAACGTGGTGAGCACATCCAGGGCAGCATCTGGTAGGTGAAATACGACAATTGAAAGCTGGAATAGGTACTTAAAAAGTAATGCTACCTGGAGTTAAATGACCACATATGACACATCTACATGTCATTTGGGGACACAAATTTTTAAAAATAAATAAAATGGGAAGACCTGTAAATGACACCAGATGGTATTATTGTTTGTTTGGGTGACTTTAAAAGTGAATCCTAGTAATTTCTCCTCTCTGAGAGCACAGCTGGCTTAAATTTAAACCTCCACTTTTACTTGCGCCTTTCTCACGCTCCAGATATGTCAGGGGCATCCTTGAGAGGGCAGTAACTCTTTACATTCATCCTGACCTTACCTGATTGGCTTCTACCAAATAGAAGTGAGGTAGGACTTGACTTGAAAGAGAAAACTGTTACCAGTTGTCTTTTGTTTACTGAAGGTGAAAGTCAATCTTAGAAGGAATCATTATGTTTTTAGACAGTTTTCATTCCGTTATTTTCTAGGGAGAAATAGGTTCTCATTTGAAAGTTTTCATAGACTTGCTGTCATAGAAAATAAGACTTTAAAGCTTCACACAGTATTCTGTTTTTTTGTTCAATTGGAGCCTTAAAAATGATTTTATAAGGATTTTACATACTAATTCTCCCTCTGTTTTTCCCTCCTCCAAGATTCTTCTTTTAAAGGGTGGCACTTTTGGGTTTGGGTTTTTTTTCCCCCTTTCCTTTTAAAGAAGAATATTTTCAAAACAACCTAGTAAAGAAGTAATATTTACTGATTAAGTAGAGGTAGGGAGGAGGTTTCAAAAAACCAGACCCTTAAACTTCTGCTAGACAACCAGTATGCTGTGACTAAAAATCAGAAAATCAACCTCACACAGTACAATTAAGGAATGGTCTTTGCTAACAACCCTCCTAAGGTTACTAGACTCCAGTGAACCACTGTAAGTGGTTCTTCTCAGCTAGATCCACAGCAACGATGTAGACCACTCTACGTAATTTGCCCTATTGTATGTACTTTGAACGTTTCCAGTGTCACTACTGCTTTTAATGGATATTAGATTTAGGGGGGATATTCTCATTGTGAACTCAGTCGAGCAGTGTTCTTTACAACAACAAATCAACCGAGCAAACCAAAACCTGCAGCCCATGGCCATTTGAGAAATCTCTTTCTGTTTAGACACTGAGCCTTCGTAAGGTTGACTGCCTTAGATTCGCTGCTCTTACTGTGGACTCCTCGTGGATTACAACTTCTGGATATGAAGGTGATATCTAGTAAATGTTGATATGAAACTTGAAACCAGCTCTACTGAATTCCTAGCAAATCCGACAGAAAGTCAGCCATCTTGGTTCTGATCCGTAAAAGATGAAGATTTAAGTAACCTTACTTAATCTACCCTGTGCCCCATCCTTGAGGAATACTTTCTGTCATAGGCTGTTGCTGTGATAGACTTTTGCAATATGCTGCATTCTAAAGGACTGATGTGTACAGATTATCTGCATAGGGCTGTGATTCATACTTTAAAACATGAAGTAAGCAAAAAAAAAAACAAAAAACCAAAGACTTCCCTATTAGAAAAAGTCCTGGATCAGATGGCTGCACAGCTGAATTTTACCAAACATTCAGAGAAGATTTATCACCAATTCTACTTAAAATATTTCACAAAATAGAAAAAAAAGAACACTCCTAGAGTCATAACCCTAATATCAAAACCAGGCAAAGATATTACCCAGAAAGAAAACCACAGATCAGTATCTCTTATGTATATAGGTGCAGAAATCCATAAAACAGTTCTAGCCAATAAAATAGAAAAGCACATCACAAAATAATTCACAATGACCAAGTGTGATTTATAATAAATATGCAAGAGTGGTTCAACATAAGAAAAACAAATCAACATAATTCACCACAGTAGAAAAGGAAATAACAAGAACCATATGATGTTATTAATTGTTGCAGAAGAGGCATTTGAAAAAAATCCATCACTCCTTCCTGATAAAGACTCTTAGCAAAATTGAAACAGAAGGGAATTTCCTCAATATAGTAAAAAGTAAATATGCAAAGCCAAGAGCCAGTATCATTGTCAATGGAGAAAGACTAAAAACATTTTCCTTGTCAACGGGGACTAAACACAAATG